AACACTAAACACTGTACCACACCTTGATGTTAGGTGAACACTAAACACTGCACCCGTCTTGATGTGAGGTGAACACTAAACACTGTACCACACACTGATGCAAGGTAAACACAAACCACACACTGATGCAAGGTAAACACAAACCACACCTTGATGCAAGGTGAACACTAAACACTGTAGCACGCCTTGATGCGAGATGAACACTAACCACTGTACCACGCATTGATGCGAGGTAAACACTAACCACTGTACAACACACTGATGCAAGGTGAACACTAAACACTGTACCACGCCTTGATGCAGGGTGAACACTAAACACTGTACCACGCCTTGATGCAGGGTGAACACTATCCACTGTACCACACCTTGATGCAAGGTGAACACTAACCACTGTACCACACCTTGATGCAAGGTGAACACTATCCACTGTACCACACCTTGATGAGAGGTGAACACTAACCACTGTACCACGTCTTGATGTGAGGTGAACACTAAACACTGCACCACGTCTTGATGTGAGGTGAACACTAAACACTGCACCACATCTTGATGTGAGGTAAACACTAAACACTGTACCACGCCTTGATGCAAGGTGAACACTAAACACTGCACCCGTCTTAATGTGAGGTGAATACTAAACACTGTACCACACACTGATGTGAGGTGAACACTAACCACTGTACCACGCCTTGATACAAGGTGAACACTAACCACTGTACCACGCCTTGATGCAAGGTGAACACTAACCACTGTATAACACACTGATGCAAGATGAACACTAAACACTGCACCACGTCTTGATGTGAGGTGAACACTAAACACTGTACCACGTCTTGATGCGAGGTGAACACTAAACACTGTACCACGTCTTGATGTGAGGTGAACACTAACCACTGTACTACGCCTTGATGCAAGGTGAACACTAACTACTGTACAAAACACTGATGCAAGGTGAACAGTAACCACTGTACCACGTCTTGATGGAAGGTGAACACTAAACACTGCACCACGTCTTGATGTGAGGTGAACACTAAACACTGCACCACGTCTTGATGTGAGGTAAACACTAAACACTGTACCACACCTTGATGTAAGGTGAACACTAAACACTGCACCCGTCTTGATGTGAGGTGAACACTAAAACACTGTACTACACACTGATGTG